GCGAGCGATAAGACCGGACGGTGTGGAACATCGCTCTTGCCGGTGCGGGTCGTTCAAACGCGGCTGTCTGGCTTGAGTTTGGCACCGTTTCCAGGACAAGACACGAGCGGTTCTTTCCCACCGGCCGCGCCAACGTCACCCCCATCGCTGCTGTCAGCCGTTCCTTCGGTGGCCGCTAGCGGAATGGTGCCGTCGGCCTCCGTCCCACCGTCGCCACCCAACCGGCGGCTCTCGACGGCGCGGTGCGCTGCCATGGCCGCGTACACACAGCCGTAGCCCGCCGCCGCAGCCATCATGACGCAGAGGAGCCCGCACACCACTCCCGCCACCACCACAGTGGTTAGGGCGTAGCGCACGCTGGGCTGGCGTGCGCGTACGCGGTGGTGAAACATGCACGCGTCGTTGATGCCGCGCTGCACCGAACGGGGACAGCGTGCCGGGCTGTTCCACGGCGAGTGCCATGGGGCCCCCCGCAGACAGATGAGCCGGAGCCCGGCGCTGCGCCGGAGGCAGCAACTCCTGCACCGATAATGCCAAGGGTTCTTTGGCGGACAAAGACTGGGGCATCTGCGCCGGCAAGAACAGAGGTGGCTCCTTTGCCGAGAAGGGCGAATGTTGCTCCTCTGAAGGTGGCGGCGGTGAGCGTTGTGCCGAGGACGGTACGGTCTCTTCTGCTGAAGGTGGTGGGGGTTTGTGTTCAGAGGACATGAAAGGGTGTCCTTCACGCTGATCGTCCTGCCTCCCCTCTGCCTCGAAAAGCAAAGACTCGGAGAGCCTCTGTGACCCGTCGGATTTGTTGCTGTGGGTTTCGCGCACAGATGATTGGCACCAAGAGAACATATCGGAGGACAGTTGCTGGAGTGGCCTGTTCCTGAGCTCCCTCGGTGCAGAGCACGACAACCTGTCCACCTCCCCGCCTGCACAACCACACACACAAGGCAAGCGTATAAGCCTTGCTGAACAGTTCATCGTGTCGTACCAAGGTAGATTGATTTGTCAAAAATGAAGACAAACGTCATTTTCACTTTGGTCTTGATTTTGTTGAATGTGTAAAATATCTGGATTGTGTTTAGAGATGTAAAAAGCTTCCCTGAATAAAGGTTATTAAAAATACGGGAGTGTTATCAACTAACGCTCGGTGATGGTATATTAGGAGTCGGTGCATTATTTGACTTGTGTGCTTAGATCATGCAGTGTTAATTAATATTCTTGAGTCTTTCGGTAAAGTCACGTAGATAGGTTTGTGTTGCGATCGAAACGTCGTAGTTTTTATTTTCTATTTTCTTTGAACCTATCTACGTGACTTTATCGAAAGACCCAAGAATAGGAATTCCTGCAGTCACGAAAGCGTTAAGTCAAGATTTAGTGTTAAGTATGTTAGCTTTAACACGTAGGCTTTGACAAACCAATATTCATGATAACGTTTTTTGGGCTAGATCGCGTATATGTAAATGTGTCTTATACCGACCTCCACCCGACAGTCAATCAGGTTTGTCACGTGAACAAAACGTGCCAATTTGTTACTGCATTAGCACACCCCGGTGTGTTAGAGAGAAAATTCACAACATTTACAATTAAGTAGGACGTTTCGCTGGCGATTACAACCAGCATCAACCAGAACCCAAAAAACCTGATGAATAAAGTTTAACTTATTTGACAATACATAATAAGTCAAACGAAGGCACCCTAACGAGAGACGTCCTTTACTGTGTTGCATGGAACAGTGGCTTGTGACGGAGGTTTATAGAATATCAATCTTCCCCGTGTTCACCACCAATAAAATACAACTATTTAAGTCCATCAGCATATGGCAGCATTTGTTAAATCGGACAAACTGTAGACTGGCTTCTACTTAATATGCCTCATCAACAAGTTTGTGGTCAGTTTAACAATGCTTGCTGGGTTACCTGATGTTGTAGGCAGGAGCTTTCCATGAACAATTTGGAACCCGTTCAGTGCAGTGCAGCTAAATTGTACAAAATTATGTAAATTGTGGGTAATGATAAATGAAACAGTTGGTTTATTTCAATTAATTAAATTAGTTTTGTTGGTGATAGAAACCATTTCGTTCTATTAGCCAGCAACATGCATTTAATAAGTGAAACTCTGGACTGTCTCCGACTTTCTGGGTATCAGCACCAGTGTGCCGCCCTCTTCTGCAAATGTGAGACGATGGTTTGTTGAACAAAAACATCTCACACGCCCTGGGTGGTCATGCGATTCAAACCTCGAAACGTGAGCCATTCCAGCCACAGCCTCAGCCCCCACAGGGAACAGTCGCACTCCCAGGGGTTGTACTCGAGCTGCAGCCACGCCAGACGGCCCAGCGGTCCCAGCAATCCGCTGGGGATGCTCGCCAGACGATTAGCGCGCAGGTCCAGCTTCTCGAGGGCAGTGGTGCCTCCGAACAAACCCTCGGGCAGCCGGGAGAGCTGATTCCAGGCGAGGTCGAGAAAGCGCAGCTCCCGCGAGCGTTGGAACAGCTCTTCGCTCAGCTCCTCCAGGCGGTTGTGCGATGCCCGCAGCGTCACCAGGCCCGGAAACGCCGAGAGCGTGACAGGTGACATCTCCACGATGCGATTGTAGGACACGTCCAGGTGACGCAGGTGCGGAAGCGGCTGTGGGGGGTTCGCCCGCCCGGCGCGGAACCCGTCCAGCTGGCGGAGGGCGTTGTGACTCACGTTCAGCGTCGAGAGGGAGCTCAGGCGCTGCAGAAGATCGAAGAGGCCGGACCCACGGATTCTGTTGTGGGACAGGTCGAGGAGGCGGAGGGAGGGCAGGCGGTGTAACGCGTGCTCCCGCACGCCGCGCAGCGCGTTGTGGCTCAGGTTGAGCGAGAGCAACGCCGGGCAGCCGGAGAAAGCGTCCGGTGGGAGGATGGAGATGCCGGTGTGGGACACGTCCAGGGCTTGCAGCGAGCGCAGGCGGAGGGCTTCGAGCACCAGCGGGGCAGGGAGGTGGCCCAGCAAGAGCAGGGCTTGGGTACCCGGCGGCAGTGCGCTCGAGTTGACGTGCCCGCTGCAGGCGAGGGTCCCCGGGGATGGGCACGTGCAGCCCTTGGGGCACGGCGAGGCCGGACGAGCGTGGAGGAGCAGGGCTACGAGAGCCAGGATCGTCGTGGAAAAATCTGGCGGTGGGAGAAAACGATGAAGCACAGCGGCCGCTCACGTTGAGCGGTTTCGCGTACAAGCCAGCAACGAGCTCGTGAGAGTGTCACTTTTTTGCATTCGAAATGTGAAACAAGATTTCGGTGGAAATTTGGTTTTATCAGATCACTGTCACCATTTACAGACGCTACTTAAAAAGAAAAAGTTTGCAAATCAAATAGAGCGAATGCATTACAATGACAGCTGGGAGCATAATTTTACAAAGTGCAGCCTTGCCAATGTAATTTGTTCATTTTCACTACTTTCTATTGGAGCCGAAACGCAAATGCCACATGTGCATGCATCCGTGCAAACATGACACACAGTAGCACACAACACATGCATTCCTATGTACATCACGCATATAATGGATATTCACGGGTATTTTATACATTCGCTAACGCATACAACAACGAAAACGTGCGTGCGAGGGTTTGTCTCACCTATTCGCAACATAATTCGGTGTCGAGTAGACACTTGGAGCTGTGTCCCGGTGCGCGTCTTCCTCTGCTCCCTCGTGTGTGGCGCTTGCGACGCGTGTTCCTGGCAGTGGTCGGTGTCAGTGTGCGCACAAAGACAACGTAGTTAATCCCACAAGCCAACACGAGCAACTCTCAGCCCGCCCCCCCCCCCCCCCCCAAAAAAAACACCCTCCCGTCAAGCTTAATGCGAGTAGCCCCCCTTTCAATGCTCTCTGTGAAACGCTGGGCCAGTCTGGTGTCAAGCCAAGACCATGGATTCTCTCCTCTGGGCTGTTTAGGCCCAATTGTGGTGATGTAACTTCCCACGTCTCTCCAGTCTTCTCAGTTCTCACGCGGTTGGTTTTGCCAACAGAATGTTGTGTGCATAGACGTCTATTTGGGAATTTAGGCCAGATGTTTTTTTAAAGCTTCATCGGTTTTTTTTGTCCAGGTGCTGGCACATGCCAAACTCTCACAGATGGAATTTAGCCACATTTCAAAATGCAATCCACTGCCCTTAGTGAAGCTACGCCTTTCATTCATGGGGTTGTTTTACCATACTTCATGCTGGTCAGAGTGGTTTGATGAAGGAAGGTCAAGGACTGGTTCAAATATGACTCATCACTAATGTTCGCGATGGCCAGGCTTTTGTACTTTTGTCCCCGGGTTTACAGTGGAGTATGAACATTGGCTCTTAAAGCTGCACCCATGGATTACTCCAGGGTATTATTAATATGGGTATTAAAAACAAACAGGCCACATTTAGTAGCTCTGCACTCGATTATCTATGATTGGACTCTACCCAAGAGCAATACTGGTATTCTGAATGTAAACACCAATTTAAATTTAAATTGATTCAATGCCAGAGTACATCTTCTGGTCGTCACAAGTAGCTCCAGAACTTTCATATATTATGTTTGTAGTAATTTGAAAAGCGTCTCAATGATGGCTGCAAAGGATGCACTCAGTGTCATGCATTTTCGTTTGCAGAGATGTCCTAATGTTAAAATTGGGCTTTAAATATCGACTGCTGTATACACAGTGCTATTTCGGGACACCTTGACCAGATCACAGGTCTTAATGCTCTGCGAACTGGAATTTCTCGTCAAAATCAAAGTGTATCCGCGTATTCTTTGGGTCTTTCGGTAAAGTTACGTAGATAGTTTCAAAGAAAATAACAAAAATTTGTTATAAATTGTTATTTAATTTGAACCTATCTAAGTGACTTTACCGAACGACCCAAAGAATATGAATTCTTCCAGTCACGAAAGCTTTACGTCAAGAATTGTATCCCCATGCTCAAATAATAACCAATAGGACCGTGATCACGACTATTGGCAGTATTGATCCAACGGAGAAAATACCATGCAACATTATCTCCATAGGACAGCCAAAAGACATCAGAAAATCGTGAATTCTAAGCTGGATATAAGCACACCTTATAAATACATTTCTCATAGGCATCACACCCGAGCAATGCACAGGTGCGGAGAAGGCAGCTTCTGATACAAGCACACGTGGCCTTTCTCCCAAGGGGTGTGCTAATGTCCACATTCTGCTGTTTTATTTTTGATAGGGTTGAATTCCTCCCTGCCCTGATGGAAGAGCTCTTTGATGTGTTTTCGGGTTGTACCACAAGCTGTTCAGCAAGACGTGTGACGTTGAACCCACGTGTTGGGAACTAACCCGCACAAGTGCAAGCGCTTAAGCGGCAGTCATGCCATCGAATGCCTACAGAGTAGACTGGACATGAGCATGCAATTTTAATCCATGGAGTGGAACTCAATAACAGAATGTTTCTGGATCAAATACGGGACCTCTGCATATCTGATCGCTCTCGTCAAAAGCCTCCTGTTGATTAATCCCTGTATGCAACAAGCGCCGTGCGCCGTGTATAATCCAACCCAAATCCCGCCACGTGGTGCACTCAATTCGATTAATACGTCAACCTCTCAGCCGATCTCCCTGCAGCTATATGTGAGGATCTGTTTGTATTCGACATTTACAAATATTGTTGACCAGGTGTAGTCACAAATATGCGTCTATTGCACTCAAGTTAATGTAAAGAGTCGATTTAAAGCTTTCGTGACTGCAGGGATTCATCTTCTTGGTTCTTTCGGTAAAGTCACGTAGAGGGGAAGTAATAAAATAATAAAAATAAAATAAAATTATTATCACGACGTTTCAGGTGAAGACCAGGTTTGTCGGGGAGACAGACCTGGTCTTCACCTGAGGACGGCTGCTTGCGTTGTGGCCGAAACGTCGTGAGAATTATTTTATTATGTTTTATTTTTATTATTTTATTACTTCCCTTCTACGTGACTTTACCGAAAGAACCAAGAATATTAATGTAAAGAGGTCAAGTTTCAGCCCTGCAATTACTTTCCCATCCCACTGCTGGAGGATAGATCTCCACGACTTAGAGGGAGCTCTAGAGAGCTGATCTAGTCGTGGATATTAATCTCTCTACTCGTGCTGGACAAAACCTCTTTGAATAGGTGGCAGTACCCCCACTGTACTCCACCACACCCGTCCGACTAATCAACTGTGTTGTAATTCTAGATTTGTGTTGCACCCATTTGGGGCCGTCCATAGATGACGCAATGTGGTGCGTATTTAATGCGGCGCTGCACTCTGATGTTGTAGGAGAAAACATGTATTAAAAAGTCGATTTAATTAAGTAGAACGTGTTGTCTATATTTATTTAAAGTTGCGCATTTTGATGTGACGTCACATTTCTCACCCCCCCCCTCGTCACACATCGTCACAAAGGTGCGTGACGTCATTTATGGACGGCCCCTTTATACTGCTGGGTGGACGGAAGAAAGGGGATTTAATAAACTTGCCCCACTGTGTGCCATACCAGAAGAACAAATTGAATTAGTGCCCTCTGGGTTGCAAGTCCAGTGCGCTAACCACGACACCAAAGTAGCATCCCTTAAAACTAACGTATTAAGGATAAATATCACGCCAACCGGAAATTAATTCTTGGGATACATTTCAGAGTTCAACGCTATCGAATGTTATTAATACAACTAAAGTAATGTATACTGAACACCGCAACAATGTGATTCTCCTGTGTGTATTTTGTTGATGGAAATGTGCTAAATCAGCCCGAATACGGAAAACACACGTAATACGTTATTAACCACATGTGTGTGGTTAATATCAAGTAATCAGTTTAACAGCATTTTATATAATACATGTTTGAATGTATTTGTAGAAGGGAAGTAATAAAATAATAAAAATAAAACATAATAAAATTAAATTAATTTAAAATTAAAATTAATTTAAAATTAAATTAATTTTAAAATTAATTTAATTTTAATTTTAAAATTAAAATTAATTTAATTTTATTATTTTATTTTTATTATTTTATTACTTCCCTTCTACGTGACTTTACCGAAAGAACCAAGAAGATGAATCCCTGCAGTCACGAAGCTTTAAATCAAAATGTATTTGTAGATTTTAAATCCACATGCTGCATGCACAGTTAAAAGTGCAAACACAAAATTAGGCTGTACCATGATGTTTCAAAACGCCCTTACACTTAGAAATACCACATCTATATTTTACTTGACTGTGTACTTCACAATTTATTTTGGGTCAGATCGTGTGAGTTAAATCTGTGTTGTACATCCTCTTCCACCCGACAGTCAGTTAATAAAGTATCCACGTGAACAAAGGTGCCAATTTATGACAGCTTCAGTACACCCTTATGTTGGAGAGCAATGCATCACCTACTTGCTGATGTTTGCATCTCATAAAGTATGATTATTATTTGCTTTGAATGCATGTATATGTATCCATATATTGTATGTCCACGTTGCTGTTATTTTCCACATATGCAAGGATGACCTTTGCTGGATAACAATCTGGCATTATATTTCATCACCCGTCTTAATTTTCCTCTATGACGGTCTCACGTGCCAATTTTTTAAAAAGAGTTTTCAACATTTATAAACAAAATGATCCCGTTGTACGTACCTTGATGCAGTTTGCAATTTACCTCGGTAAAATAGATTAGATAGTGAATCCAAAAAAATCACACTAAATAATCCATCATATTTGAACTCGCATTCTCTTAATACAGAACACAGGCTGCAAAGTAATAAGTACATAATTTTGGATTGTATGAGGCTTGGAAGCGCTAAATTGTAAAACATTGACGACATAGTTGCTGGAATAAACCCAGCTGACAAGGCACGCTGCTTCGAAAACAATAATTTTCAGCAGCAATGCTGGACAACCACACTTCACGAGGCAGACTGGCACAAAATACTGGACCTCTGTGAAAAAGAGCTTCATCCCTCATCGGATTCCTCCAGTCGAATAAGATTCTTAAAATGTATTTGGTTGGGTAAATGTGAGTACTTCGTGCTCGTTTAAAGCATCTCGTTTTAAACAGGAGGCTCTTCCTGCAGCTGAAGACATGAAGCAACACACTGTTAAAAATATTTCACGAAGCATTTCATTTGATAGACAGACTCGCACATTTCCAAGGCAGGCAATCACCTACG